AAGTTTGTCATGTCTTAATTTAAAATTTAAAATTATTAGTTTAAAATGTTTGTCATATATATCATTCACGAAACTTCACCGAATAATTTTTTTTTTGATATGGTATCATTAATAACAAATATAAATCCTATAATTTTGAGTTCTTCAATAGATAAAATTAAAGTTTTGACATATAAAAGTAATGATACAGTTTCAAGTTTTAAATTGTTTTCTATATAGAGTGCATCAAAGATACTAAAAACTTATTTTTAAAATCCCATTTAATAAACTAAGATTTTATATTGAAATGATTATTTAAAGTTATATATATTTGAAAATGCCAAATTCTATTGTGACTTTTTTTTTTTGAATTTTATGAATTTTAAAAGTGATCGAGGCATCCTTCATATCTTTCTTTTTTTTTTTTGACGAAGTTTACAAATTTTAATGTGATAATGTTTTTTATCATTTGGTTAAGTTAGTTTGGAAAAGTTGAAATTAGTCCTACATAGTTGAAATTGGCGAACTACAAGCGACTTGCAGTTGAGACTTGCCGTTCAGAATGATTAGGCGTTGAATTAATCAGTAGAGGTTCCATTTCATCCCATTGGATTGAGAGTATTTCTTTCGTAAATTTACGCACATTAAAATATAATATGCTTTGATTAAAATAATATTTAATGGGATGTTATTTTAAAATGTGCGAATTTCAGTTCGTAAAAGACAGCGTCGAGTTATATGACTCATATAACTGAAAAGATATATTAAAAAAATAATGGTTTATTAATAAAATAATATTCAGAATTAGTAGGCTAGTTCAAACAATAACCTAAATTAGCATTTTTATTGTTTGATTGTATCATAATTCCGCAAGTTAATTTCATATAATTATTTAAATATAATCTAATTAGCTTGTTATATTTTTTAAAAAAATTAAAAAATAAAAAATAACATAAAAAAACCAGACACATGAATTTAAATATAACCTAGATAATTGTTAAAAAGAGGTTTGACTTTGAAGAAAATATTCATATTTATTTTTTTTATATTAAGACAATAATGTACTGATTCAATTCATGTCCATTTAAGTTAATTCATCAAACTTATGATTTAATTTGTAAATATCAATGAGTTCAAAATATTGTTTTTTATTTTAATTATACAATAAAAATAAAGATAAAAATAAACCAATCTAATCTTAAATAAAAAATAAAAAATATTCATCAAAAATCCAATACTAAAAATTTTATTTTTTAAAAAAAAAATTAAACCGGATATGCAATCTTGTGTGGCCCAAAGTATCAAGTCTTTAAAAAAAATTATTACAATCAAACTCCTCTTATTAAATAAAAATTATATATTTTCTTTTTTATATATAAGAATTGAGATTTTATATAAAAATTAATGCTAAAAAAAGTGGCTAGCTAGAAAAATAAAAGTTATATTTATGTATATAAAAGCCAAATGTTTTCTAATTAGGCTATTGAATAGCTTGATTAAAAAGGGGAAAAAGTTAGAAAATTAAAAAAAAAAATTAGCTGAGGTGAGGTGCATGTTATGATTGTTAGTGGCATTTCACCAAGTTGGAGTTCGGCACCAGTAATGCTCAAAAAATTTATCTTTGGGTACAAATTTTGTTCGTAAGCCTTTTTGGGTCCTTATAGTCATCTGCAGTGTTACTTCATAATGATGTAATATATAATTAGTTAAAATACTAATATAATTACAATATAGTCCTTCAAATGAATAAATTTATGCAATAAGATCCTACATTATGTAATGAATTTGCATATATGGAATCATTTACATTCAACACTAGTAAAATTTTTAGATTTAATAACAAAATTTTATATCAATATTTACACTTATAGTCTCTTGGTACTTCTTTTACCAATAGGTTTACAGATAAAAAACAATTGTTGGAAAAACTCTTGTAAATAATTTGTGGTATGTTGATAAATCCGTTTATAATATAATCATCAATACATTTATTAAAATATGTAAATTAATAAAAAAAAATTGAGTTAGCTTTGTTTCGAGTGAAACTGAGAAGAGAAAAAAATCCATAAAATATGTTAATTAACAAAAAAAAGAGTAAAAACTAAAATGAGAGAAGAAGAAAAGAGAAAAAGACATACTTGCACGTGAAGGAAAAAAAAAAGATGAGTTGAGGAGAGAAGAAAAAAAAAAGAAAAAGAGAGACATTGGTGTTTTTTACATAAGAGAAAGAGGGAAGAAGAAGAGAAAGAAGAAAAAAGATGAAGAGAAAAGATTAAAAAAAAGAGGTGTGTCTATTATGAAATTAACGATTCTAGTATTTTAATTGAGTATTTTTACTAATAAATAATTGAGTATTAATATTTTTAATCATTTTATCAATAATTTAGCCTGTAATATTTAATTTAAATTTTTAATTTAATAAAAAAAATTTAGAAACCCTTAAAATATCATTAATGACTTTTTAGTCCGTCAAAGATTTTTTTATAAAGAATAGTAATTAACAATATAATTGAGAAGTGAGCAATTTTAGTGTTCTTAGAAAAATACTGACGAACTTAATTTGTTGGTACTAATCTCGTACGTAATTAACAACATGAATAATGTAATTAAGAAGTGAGCAATCCCAAATCTGTTTGCAATATAGCGACAAATTTCTTTCGTCGGTGTATCTATTGATATTTTACAATTCCAATACTCTCTTAAATATTACCGATGAATTTACGAATAGATTTTACAGACGAGTTAGTATCATTGGTAATGTTGTTATATAAATGACATATCATTGTACTTTTTACTTTTTGTTTAATTTTTTTTCTTGCTATAATCCTCTTAATATATACATAGTAAATATTGTTGTTGGTATTTTCTGATGGAGATAGTGAAAGAATATTTTGTCGGTAAAATTCATTGTAATCTACCGACTAAAATATTCTATCAATATTTTCATTTGTATTTGTAAATTTTAAGGTTGTGTAAAAATAATAAATAGTAAAAAAAATATTATCAAGACAATGGAATCTTACAATATGTAGCCAAAAGTACTAATATAATATATATTTCCATATCAAAGAATTTTTTATGTATCAATTTAAAAATTTAAGTTTGTCATGTCTTAATTTAAAATTTAAAATTATTAGTTTAAAATGTTTGTCATATAAATCATTCACGAAACTTCACTGAATAATTTTTTTTTTTGATATGGTATCATTAATAACAAATATAAATCTTATAATTTTGAGTTCTTCAATAGATAAAATTAAAGTTTTGACATATAAAAGTAATGATACAGTTTCAAGTTTTAAAGTTTTTTTCTAAATAGAGTCCATCAAAGGTACTAAAAACTTATTTTTAAAATCCCATTTAATAAACTAAGATTTTATATTGAAATGATTATTTAAAATTATATATATTTGAAAATGCCAAATTCTAATGTGACTTCTTTTTTTTTTTAATTTTACGAATTTTAAAAGTGATCGAGGCATCTTTCATTTTTTTTTATGAATTTTACAAATTTTAATGTGATAATTTTTTTTTATCATTTGGTTAAGTTAGTTTGGAAAATTTGAAATTAGCGAACTACAAGCGACTTGCAGTTGAGACTTGCCGTCTAGAATGATTAGGCGTTGAATTGATCAGTAGAGGTTCCATTTCATCCCATTAGATTGAGAGTATTTCTTTCGTAAATTCACGCACATTAAAATATAATATGTTTTTATTAAAATAATATTTAATGAGATGTTATTTTAAAATGTACGAATTTCAGTTCGTAAAAAGCAGCTTCGACTCATGTAACTGAAAAGATATATTAAAAAAAATAATGGTTTATTAATAAAATAATATTCAGAATTAGTAGGCTTGTTCAAACAATAACCTAAATTAGCATTTTTTATTGTTTGATTGTATCATAATTTCACAAGTTAATTTCAATAATATTTCATTATATATTTCCATTCTCCTTGAAATTAAAAAAAAATAATATTTTAATAATAATATAAACTCTCTCCTGTTGATAATTTTTCATATTATTTTTTGTAAATAAATCAATATCATCACATCCAAAAACCTAATGTCCTAAGATCATAGATTTTATATTAATTCTCTTCAAGCGAACTATATATATATATAGATATTCGAATCATGTAATCCTATTCTTCTAAAAATTAATTAATTAATCCTATTAATACAATTGAAGAATTGGCTCAAGATTAATTATCGTCAAGATCAGCTCCCTTTCCCCCTTCCTTTGTCTTTATGTTTCCAGCTAAAGAATTTGGTTTAATCTTTAGTCTCAAAGACCATTTCTTGCATATAGTTCATGGGCCAAAGACATAAGTCTTGTGCTAGGCTTTGGCAAGCCCGTGCGTTTTCTTATGTGTATGGGGTTATGGGATGATATGGTCTAGGCCCATTTCGTTTCCTTGGATAAGGCCTCTATGGTTTCTAGCCATGGGCTGGCTTTATTTTTCTGTAGGGCTATTCTACAGGGGCCGAGGGTTGTGTGTGATGGACTGTAGGCTTGGATTTTCTTTGATGGGTATTATTGGGTTTTGGGCTATGGCTTTATGAGTCTGGGCTACACTCTTTGGGTTGTATCCATGGGTTTAATGGGTTTGGGTTGAGTATACATATGTTCAAGAAAAATAAGAAAAAACAATAGAAAAAAATATAAATAAAATTATAAAAATAACATAAGATTTATGAAAATAAATATTTTGTTTACGTTACGGCCAAGTATTTCCAGAAAAAAATCAAAATTTTCATATCCCATCATTGTGATTTTTTCTCTCTCTATCTAGTGTGTTTGTTTTTCACAAAAAAAAGTTTAGAAAAAAAAAACTAAAAATATTATCATATTTTAGCATTCAATGATAAAAACACGTATCTTATTATAAAAATATAAAATAAAAAGGAAATGTTTTTATATTTTATTTGTTATTTGAATAAAAAAATCTTTTTTTATTTAAAAACAAATTTATAATATAAATATTTAGACTTAATAATTAACAGTTTTATTAAGCTCATTAAAACTTAGTTAAAATATAAAAGCTCATCAAGTCAACATATCCAATAAACTAAAAAATCCAGCACTGATTTTCGAAAAAAAATTGATAAATCTTTTTGGTGTTTGTGTATTTAAACCTATACATGTAATTTAAATATTGCTGATAGTTGTCTCTTTATAAAATAGAATAAAATGATTTCATTTACTAATGTGAAATCCTTTTTATATGGATATGATGTATAATTTGGATCAGGTAGTATGATTCTATCATAGCTCATTAAATAAAAATTTTTGATATATTTTATAGAATTGCAGTTAACATCACCTGCATTTTGCGTTTACTAGTAGAAATTAAGAAGACAACCTCTTAAATATAGTGTTTCATAATTATTATTATAAGAAGATGTTATTTTGAATAGCAAGCTAATATAATGTTTTCCAATAATGACATGTATAAAATATATTATATTGCATTTTTTTTTAATATATTTAAACTATATTATTTCATCAATTTTTTTATTTTAAATTTTTTTATCAATATTTAAAAACCAAAAATATTGACAAGTAAAAATAACCAAAAAAATATAATAAACACGATATCATATTTTATGTGGCATTTGAAAGTATATATATTAAAAAAAAATTAAAAATACAATCCAAACAATAAAATAATTTTAAATTCAACTATTATTTTTCTATTTATTTTATTACGATTCGATATGTTTGAAAACATGGTATAAATTATATTTTTTAAAATTTTAAATATTTCTTTTATTTAAAATAAATTATTTTAAAAATAAATAAATCCTAACTGACATCAGCGACGAAGCATTACCTCCCCGGATGTCTAATTTTTTAAGGGAGGGTATAATTGGTATTTCGTTCAACAGAGGGCAATCGGCTATCCGCAATTCTCGAAGGCGAGGAAATTAAATTGAATGACAAAATATTTTTTAAGGGAGGCTAATATTTTGAATGACAAAATATTTCATAAAGGCTAAAAGGATTTTCTTATACAAGTTTTTGTTTTGAAGTAACCAAAAAATAACTTAATTGGCTGTTTTATGAGAAGTTTTGAGAATTACGTCTCTCTAATTTCCTTAATTTTGTGCTCTTTTTTTTATGACAAGTATTACAGTAGTGTTAAGGAAAAAAACTACTAAAATATATATTTTATTCTCATTACAAATTTAATTTGATTACCAATCTTTAATGATTCTAATGTCAGGAATATGAGCTATCTTAGGCCAGTCCTCTCCTAAATCTTTCTCACACCTTTTCTCCAAATTTGGACA